TACTACTCAAATGTCCTAGGTCTGCAACCACAAACTCTTGCACAAACTGTGCTCTACCAACAGTAAACTCAAATGTTGCACAACCATACACATGAACCAGAGTACCATTTGCTGTGAAAATGTCCCTACCAACGACACTCAAAGTGGAATCACTGAGACCCAACTTCTGGAAATCCTGATATGACAGTATTGAAACAGGAGAACCTGTATCCACAAGTACTGTACATATGTCTGACCCAAGCTCAATATCCAGAAAAAGACATGATTTACCACTAGTACTAGCACGCAATACTACTGGCTCTCGCATACTTGAACGCATTTCTCCCACATGTGATGACCTCTTCCCTGCAGTGCAACTTTCAGTCGGCCTAACATTCTGCTTGACATTGGCTGGAATCTCGGCCTCGATCCCAGCCTGACTTAGTTTCCCCATTTGGTTTTGCTGCAGCAGGTCCAGGTAAGTCTAACTTAGCTAGATGTGGACATTTATCTCTCATATGTCCAGGATCCTGACAAACATAACATGCAAATTTCCTTGGCCTCTGGAATGATTTCGCAAATATTTCTAAACGCTGATCTATCAACTTGACAACAGCATCCACAGTCAAACCCTCATTTGACACTGGTTCGGAAACCCTGGCAATCCGCTCACACGTTTCAGGTTTCCTGCTTTTTTGTCCCTCAACTGCCTCAAACTCTACACCATGAGCAATTGCTTCCTCTAATGTTTGGGGATGTGCAAACGCAATGTGTTTCTTCATATTGAAATTCAACAACCCTGTCAAAAACTGGTCTATGACATGTGGCTCAAGCGAAACAAAGGTGGCATCTGGATACGCCAAAAGTGCCAATCTCCGCAACTGGTAACCATAGTCAGCCACCGACTCATCCTTGCCCTGTCTACGGTTCCTAAACTCAGTCCGAAAAGCTACACCTCTTTCTCTAGGATTGAACCTCTGAGTTAGTACACCTTTAATTGCACTGTAATCACTCAACTGTAATAGCGTAAGGCTACTGAGAAGTTTTTGAGCTGTACCTCGTAAACACATAGTTAACTGTTGTGCTTTTTCTCCACTAGACCACCCATTCCATGCAGCAACTTGTTCAAAATGAACAAGAAAATCCGGCCATTCACAACTTTTACCATCAAAAGTATCCGGTCTAACTTCACGATGGGTAGGTTTCGTCACGAATGGTTGCACAAATGAGCTATCACAATCACTATGATAAACCCTATCACCTGTCCAGTTAGAATCTATCAAAGAAGTATTCGACATCGGACCAGGACCCAACCCTGCTGCTGAAGGTGCCCTCTGATTGTATCTACAGAATTCATTCTGCCTGTCAAAGTGTCTATCTACAAATGGAACACCAAAATGTACAGAACGTCTATCCTGTCTATCACTTCAACCATAAGCAGACCCTTTCTGAAAATTCAGCATTGCTTCATTCATAGATGGTGAAATACCCATTATCTCACTATTACCGGCTTGTGTACTAACACTTGGGAGTGGATGAGAGGAACCAATGTTTTCAACTGAACGACAAACATTAGGTGTAGAGGTTGCAAATCCCACTTGACCTAAATCTGACAAGTCAATAAGAGCATGGTCCAGATTATCTGGAGGGGACTCAACCCGATCATGTGCCATGGAATATAAATCACGTGTCTCCCCTGATGCCATTTTGTTTGACTATAGATGCTGCAAAACCAAGAACTTTACAATTCTGCTTCTAAACGTACTCTATGAATGTACTTTATGACCTCTAATCAGTTTCAACAGGATATACCTGTATGATGAAACAGACCTTGATTCACATAATAAAACTACAAAATGTAATACTTTACTTGTTTTGGGGATTTTTCCTTTTTTTTTTCTTACGGAAACAATGTTACTTATTCTGACAAGAATCAATCAGTTTTCACTAAGAAAATGACAAAACAATCCGGGTCACGGCACCAAATCTGTAAAAGGCACCTCCGCTGAGGGAGGTCACCCAGTGACAGTAAGGTTCATATATCAAGGTTCGATGTTGTTATTTAACGCTCTCCGTTGTGGACTTTGCGTTGTGTATTTTTAATTAGATGTTAATCTTGTACCTGGAGAACGGAACCTTTCATGGACCTTATTTCAGGTTCTATGGTTGTTCAAGTCATTGTTAAAGATTCTTCACAAAATAAGAACAAAGTTCAGATTTTCCAAATAAATACAGTTTATTAATTAATAAAAACAAACTAAGCCAAACTCAACAAAATAAACAGAAGCCAGCATCACACATACTCACAACTATCAGTCTATGAAACCCAAAGAAAAAGAAGAAAGTCCTAACTATTTAATTCTTACATACAAAGCCTACTCTAATCCTATCGTTTCCCCCAACCCACTAAATATTCTCCTACTCTACATGCAAAAGCAAGCGACTTCTCTGAGCGTTACAGGCCCTTAAATACCCCGCGCGCTAACCTTTGATCCGGGAGAAGTAGCCTAACTCCCATTGGCCCGCAATGGAGTCAGCCGACCAATCATGACAGCTCTACCATACCGCACTCGGAATGCAAACAGAAAACACACCGGGCCACGGCAATCCGAACAGCATGACAGCGCATGCCGTGACTGTAAACTGTCCGGAATTTTACAGCCCAACGGAATTTTACAGCCCAACGATGGTAAAAAGCGGAATTTTATACACTACAAGCAACCTCTGAAGAAATCACTTACTCCCGAAAACTGCTACGTAAAACTTCCCACTAAATATATATATTACAACCCCAATAATGTGAAAAGAAAATAACTTTTATTCCCAACAAAAAACCCACTTTCCTACATTCCTCCCCCCTTAAGAGTAAAATTCCCAATTTTATTCCCATATTTCTTTTCACACACACATTCACACTTACAATAAGTTGCAACAAAAATGCGACAAATACAATAGAAATAATGCGACGTTTACAATATAAATTCAATCACTGTTCAGTGCAGACATGGCCTCCAGTTCTTCTTCCTCTCTTTCTTCCCTGGACCTTCTTCGGGAAGGGAGGCGATGACGCCTCGAGGCTTCCTCCTGCCGAAGTCGTTGCCTTCGTGGGGAAAGTGTCTTTTCATCCATTTTCCTGCATAGGTAAGGACGTATCCAGTCAAGGACAATTCCATCAATATCGACTCTGACCTTCAGACGCTGCACAAGAATTTGGTGATCAACAGTATCAAAAGCACTGGAAAGATCAAAAAAGGGCTCCATCAAGTCATGGTAGGGCTCCATCAAGTCATATCTTGAGACTATCTTCTTGAGACATTTAACAGAAAGGACAAATTAGACACTGGGCTGTAGTTTCTGAAATTGTCTGCATCAAGTGTTGGTTTCTTCAACAGTGGTGTGATTATAGCCTGTTTATAGACACTTGGTACTTCGATCACCACAACTAAGAAAAGAGTTGAAAATGTCCAACACAGCTGGTAGTAGATGAGAAAATGTGGATTTTGTGAGCCAGGTGGGCAGAACATCAAGAGATCATGTTTTCACTTTTGCTGCAGAAACGACCAATTTCAAATCAGGAACTTCAACAAAGACCATGGTGCACAGTTCCTGTCTACTTTGCAAATCACTTCGAATATCTTCAAATTTACTGGGGAAGAACTTCACAAACTCCTCTGCTAAGTTCTTCAGATCACTGTGTTCAGGAAGACAACAGTTAGAATTTCGCTTGAGCAGGTTACTGAGGAGAAGGTGTAGTTGCCGCGGATTGTTTTTACTCTCCTTAATGTTTTTCTAGATGAATGCCTGCTTTGCCGAACGTAATTCACTGTTCACCATATTGCGAGCATTGCAATACATTTGACAATGAATTTCTAGGTGTGTTTTCACCAAATCTTTTCAGCGGCACGGCGCTTCTTTTTCAAGTCACGGATATTGTCATGATACCATCCTGTATTGGGGCGTATGACAACTACTGTGGATTTCAGAGGTGCATGACTGTCAAGAATCTGCTCAAGTGTTTCATCAAACTCGAGGAATTTGCCATTCACATCTGTTGCATCAGAAACTCGGTCAAACACTTCGGAGGTTTCAATATCAAATGCAAAATCATCGATGTTAATGCCTCTAGTCTATCGATATGATCAACAAAGTGATCAGAAATATTCTCATCAGCAACTGTCACACTCTTCACTAATCCACAGTCTTCTTTGGTGAGAACCAAATCCAAGATGTGACCTGATTTATGGGTGACAGCGGAAACATGTTGTTTGAGAGTAAAACTTTACATTTTCCACCCTTTGTTTTCTTTTTTTTTTTTTTATAAAGGCCATTGCAGTATAAAATCAGGAATATGATGATATTACTGTTTTCGTTTGAGGCATGGGGCACTGCACCATCTATTGGCACATCAGTTTTAAAGTGTGCCAGATAAACATGCAATAAGGGCTTAATAGGGGCTTATTACTAATGGAGGGACGGGTTGGATGGATGGAAAACAGATGACAGAATCTCATTTGAACTCTCTGTTCAGTTGAGATAAAAACTTCACTGAAAAACTGAATGAAATACCATCATTTTATGGAACACAGGCATGTCATGTTCCAGATCCATTTGTCTTGTGAATTCATTACATAATGTTTATCTATACAAGAAGACAAAGTCATCAATATCCCCCTCAATAGAAAAATACTCTATATGTCTACTAGTTATGATTATGTCAAATGTTTTGGTGTGTATATGGCAAAGTGGATGGAGAGTATTGAAAGGTTTTAAAGTTATGCTCGAGGAAGGAGCACTACCACCAAATTCAATCAAAGCCAAAAGTGTTGCCATGGAAACACACAAAATTATAGTATGGAAATGGAAATGAATAATGAATATATTAAACGTTTTGAATTGTATTTCCATTCTTTTCAAATGTGTAAATACATCCTGCAGATTGGATACAGTTGCTAATTACATCATTTATCACAAAGTCTAAACTAGAAAGACAGGAACTGAAAAATACATGGTTATCAGCATACCTAAGTTCTTGAAAATGTTTCTTCGCCTTGTATTTTAAGTCCCTTGCTTCAAAGAATATCTCAAAGTCAAGACGATATCCAGTTTGAAGACTGAGCCTTTTCCCAAGTCCCCTGTCCACTGCAAATTCAGTGAGTAAGTTTGATAGTTTCCTGTTTGTTACAGCCTCAAGCCATTGTGTTAAGACTTCTTGTGAAGACACCTTCCATGTCATCCGCTCTTGCTGCAAGGACACCACTTTGATGTTTTGTGGCAACAACTTATTCAGCTCCTTTACATCTCTGAAGCATTCCAAGATAGACCCATAGTCCTCTACTTCAGTCTCATCTTCTTCCTCATCTTCACTCACAATGTAAACTTTCAGCTTTGAACTAAAACCTGGAAGAATTCATGAGAACACTTAAAGACTGTGATTTATTTTGCATTTCTTGTTCAAGTCCTGTTACATGTCCTATAACTATAATGCTGTAAAAAACACGATTCTGATTAAAGTCTAATAAGAAAATATTAGCACATACCAAATTGTTCAACTTGATTCTGCTGGTTCACATCCATTCCATCACTTTGGCAAGACATACTGCAGTAAACTGAAGACGACCTAAACAAAAACAACATAACAAATTACTAAAGCAAATATTTCACATTCATCATGTTTACTCTACTTCTCTGCAGATTATGAATGTTTTTTTAGCTTTGTTGTTAAGGGGCCGTTCATAATTTATGGCTAGGGGGTTATGATGATTTTTAAGTGGGGTCACCCATTTTGTTCTGGGGAGCTCGGGGGTTCACCTAAGGGGAGGGAAAAGAAAAAAAGCAATTTTGTATATAAAAATATGTTTCAAATTATGCTTAGAAATTATGGGAAGGGGAGGGGGGTCATTGATTTTGTACATGACATGCAGGGGGGTCACTTATTTGGTACATAAATTTTAGGGGGCTCATTCACATTGTACATGCTTCTCCATAAAAATCATCATCACCCCCCCTAGCCATAAATTATGAACGGTCCCTAACACATACTAGAATAAAATCTAGAACGCTTTGGTATCAAGGCTTCTCACAAGTAAGCAATCTCTTGATAAAGCTGTCTCCTTTACCCAATCCTGTGGTGTTTTTTTGTATTTCACAAAGTAGTAAATCAAGTCTGATATCTTTAGCCAATGCTAGAATGATACTGTTTGTACTTTCATCTGACTTTTCTGTGATGACAGATATTGTTACATCTCATATACTGGCATAACTCATCAAGCTGATAGTCCTTCTCCCTCTAACTTTCTGTTTAACTCGCACATGACTTCACCCTGTGAATCGGTCTTAATCATATCACTGAAATAAGGATTAATTAAACATGGAACCATTTCATGACCTCAAACTATATACATTTGTACTATATACTCTTAGGTCAAGGGAATAATAATGTCAATGACTCATGACATTTATGTCAGTTCAGAAATTAAAATTACAAAAATTCAGTCTCATGGAAACAAAGTCATTATTGTTTTATGTGTTATCATTTTTATACTTTATTGTACATTCACAACAAAAGTGTGCAAAAATGAATATTTCTCTGAATAATTACTCTATGTGTTCTCTTACGACAAGCATGGGTTACTGAAGACCAATTCTAACCTGGATCTTTCACAGGTATTTTTTAAGCAAGGTAACACTGCACTGTGTGAGTGCACATAACACTTTTGCGCGCAGTATGCATGCATATGATTGTTGATTATCAACAATAGTTTATATATAAAAGATATGGTCATAAGAGATAATATTTGTGTATTATTTGGTTTATTGTTATTCTGTTAAGTTGTATTAAAAGTAGACTATCTGTATGTTTTACTTAAATATCCAAGATCATGTAAGTAATGTGTATTGTTTGCACCTAGTATGTATCTTACTTATGTGTTTATCATACTTATTTACAATGCATTGTTCACAGTTATGCTATATAATATCACTCATATATTGTGGCAGCAAGGTGAACTGATACATATCACAAGCAGACAAAGTCATCAATATCCCCTGCAATGGCAAAACACTCTTCATGAATATGTCAACTAGTTATGACTATGTCAAATGTTTTGGCGTGTATATAGCAAAGTGGAAGGAGAGCATAGAAAGGTTTTTAAGTTCTGTTCCAGAAAGGAGCACTACCACCAAATTCAGTTGAAGTCAAACTTGTTGCCATGGAAACACAAAAAATATTTTATTCAGAAATCCAAAACTACCAAAAGGCACCAGTTCACCACCAGACACCAGATCTATTTATGTGCCAAGTTTGGTGAAGAAATAGTGAATGCTTTTAAAGTTCTGCTCCGTAAAAGTGAGTGAGTGAGTGAGTGAGTGAGTTTATTTTTACGACGCATTCAGCAATATTCCAGCTATATGGTGGCGGTCTGTAAATAAGTCTGGACCAGACAATCCGGTGATCAACAACATGGGCATCAATCTGCACAATTGGGAACCGATGACATGTGTCAACCAAGTCAGCGAGTCTGGCCAGCCGATCCCGTTAGTCGCCTTTTACGACAAGCATGGGTTACTGAAGGCCAATATTCTAACCCGCACCTTCACGGGCTGCTCCGTAAATAAGCACCAACACCAAATTCAGTCAAAGCCATGGAAATGATATCCTATTCAGAAATAAACAAGAGTCATCAGAAGATGACAAATCCCCCCGGCTCCCACAAATTGGAAAGAACAAATCATCTGACAGTTACTTAAAGTCCAACTTGTTTTTTTCAAAGCCAAAACGTTTCCATGGAAACCAAGAAAAATGAAAAAATACACACCAAAAATCTGCAAATAGCAAAAGGCACCACTTTAAGTTCAGTTTGATATATCTGCCAAGTTTTGTTGAAAGATATTGAATAGTTTTCGAGTTGTGCTCCAGAAACGAAACTCATCTCTCCCTTTTGAGACTAAGTCCGAATCGTTTCCATAGAAACCGGGAAAAATATCAATGACAATAAGAGTCATCATATGACATATCCCCCTGGCCCCAACATATTTGAAAGAACAAATCATCTGACAGTTAGTATAAAATCATTTCTATGGAAATCATGAAAAATATAAATGCCAAATATCTGTAAATAGCTAAAGGCACCACTTCAAGATCTGCCTCATTTATCTGCCAAGTTCTATTGAAAGATATTGAACTGTTTTCGAGTTGTGCTCCGGAAACGAAGCCCACCCCTTTTGAGACTAAATCCGAATCGTTTCCATGGAAACTGAGAAAATAATAAATGACAAAAATCTGTAAATAGAAAAAGGCACCACTTTAGGTTCTGTTTGAGATATCTACCAATCTTTGCAGAATTTGTTTTAACGATTTTTTGAGTTATGCTCCGGAAACGAAGCCTACCCCTCCCTTCAAGACTAAGTCCAAATCGTTTCTATGGAAATCAAGAAAAATATAAATGACAAAACTCTGTAAATAGCAAAAGGCACCACTTATGGTTTTGTTTGATATATATACCAATTATTGTTGAAAAATATTGAACAGTTTTTGAGTTATGCTCCAGAAACAAAATGATTACAGACTGATGGCGCACAAACAGACGGTGAGGCGTTGACTATATAAAAATTACCAAAAGGCACCAGTTCACTACCAGACCTATTTATGTGCCAAGTTTGGTGAAGACATATTGAACAGTTTTAAAGTTCTGCTCTGGAAAAGAACACCAACACCAATTTCAGTCGAAGTCAAACTTGTTGCCATGGAAAAACCAAAAATATCTTATTCAGAAGTCCAAAACTACAAAAAGGCACAAGTTCACCACCAGATATCTATCTATGTGCCAAGTTTGGTAAATAATATTGAACGGTTTTTATGTTCTGCTCAGAAAAGACAAATGTGCACGGATGGACGCACCGGTGGAGTCCATTTTAAACCCCTACAAAATGCATTGTGGGGGATAAATACAATAAGAGGTCAGCGGTTGATGTATTATTCTTTTGGCAATATTGAAAGTGTTTATGACCAGTGACCACACTGCTGTCAAAAAAAATATAAGAATGTTATCCTGCTTGGCTTGGATATATTCAATTTTTGTATATCTCGCTTAATAACATCGTAACAGCACTATTTTCTACCAAATGCAAGTATATCTTCACTTCATTGCTTAAAATTGTATGACACATTGTCAGAAAGATTTATGTTGGTTACTGTCCATTCATAATTCTCTGATTACAATCATTGTCATAGGCTGTACCAGGTAATTGTGTTTATACTTTATTATGATGCATAAACTGACTGATGATATTCATCAAATAAATACTGGACACAAACAGATACTTAACTTGGGGGTTTCTTTGGTTTGCAAGCTTATTCCCTCACAACAAATTCCCTCTAAAGCAAATATAAACCTCTAAAGGTGAATATAGCACAAAAGGTTATCATGGCACAAGGGTTTGCATATGAACAAAATCAAATCTTATCAATAAAAAAGAACACAGTTTAGAAATGCATTAAATTGTAATTCAAACAAGCACTTGAATAATTTGCTCCAAACAGGATTGAAAGAAATAATAGCTGTTTACTAGGGCTGTTACTATTCACTCACAAATACTGTGAATTTAATTGTATTCATTAATGAATTCAATTCGTCGATCACTAGAATTGAATATTGATGATTTTATTAAAAGGTGTGTTTTTACTTGAATTCAGGTGTTCTTTAAAGGTCACATGCAACCAAAAAATCAAACATAATTAAAACACAATTATCACTTCTTCATGACATATAATATGCATCGCTGATTATGAAAAAACAAATAAACAAAATTATAAGCGTATAATCGCAAATCAAAAGTGCAATATTTTGTACTTGGGTTTACCTCCCTCGAAACGAAGCAGCCGGGATACCGAACCCAGTCAGAGCGGGTGGGTGTAACGGCTGGTTCATTAGCAGATGCCGCCTTCACGGCTCATTGTGTGTGTATATATAGAGATGTTGGGTTTTGTAAATACATACTCATTTTTTGTGTATAACATTTTGCAATCAACAGACATCATAACATGTCATGTGTTCAAGTATCACACATGCCTGTCTGTGTAATTACATAATGTGACAGAGACCGAACTCGGGCCATAAATCAATGCGTTTTGTTTATGGTGTATAGCCTGATTGGTGTCAAGTTCAAATTGCATGTGGTCAGTGATCGAAGTTGTGCATTGAATATTGTCATTAGCAGACAGGCAGGCAGACACACAGGTGTCAATAAAACAAGACATTGAGTTTTGTCTGTGACAGCGACATATCTATATCACAGTTAGAAATTGTGTCAACGCTAAATAATGACATTACTTTTAAGTATCGAACTGAGAAAGTGACTCGGTAGAAGAACGTGTGGTGAAATAGACAAATGAAATTATATAAACAGTTTATTTACTGTCATAACATACAAAAAGCTCGCGCCTGTGAGATATCAACAAAACATTATGAAAATAGCTCACACCAAAGCCTTCACCGAGTATTCACCAGACAGCCCGCTTCCAAGTTGCGCGAACCTATTGCACTGCGCACGTGCTATGAGCGCAGCCCAGCTGTTGAAACCCGTATTCCCCAGAAAAGTCTGGGGAAAATTAGTGAAACG